ACTGCTTTGATTAATATGGAAACAAATACAACGACTGGTCTCAATAGATGTTCTATACGAATACGTCAATATTATTTACAGTTTTTAATGTTCATTAGGATTTCAGCCCTTAAATGCGAAGGATATTGTCAAAAAAATTAAACTTGCGTGTAAAAAGAGAGCTTGTTCCTCTGGAGCAAAACAAAGAATTTTTACGATAAAAAACATTTTGAGACAATAGCTTAGAAAATTTTACTTTCATCATTACAGCAATTTGAATAAAAATTTCTCAATTTTATATCTTAACGACAAAGGACAGCTTTTAAATTTTCAAATTTTTCGAAATTGTAAAACTTAATTGCAAGTGACATAAGTAAAATTGAAAACGCTTTAAGGTTCACTGGTACTCTGAAGAGAGATAACTCAATGCAAGTGACATAAGTAAATTTGAAAACGCTTTAAGGTTCACTGGTACTCTGATAAGAGAGATAACTCAAGGGATAATCCTATATTATTTCTTCATTTTGTCAAGATAAAGATTCTCTTGTAGAAACTAAGTAATACTAAAATTGTTTGCATTTTACTTATAAAAGCTTCTCCTCTAACCTTTGCAACCGTGGTAGAATTAAAGTATGAACAAAATTCTTTTGGGAAATTGTATGCATTTTAAAGTATCATTTAGACAAGCAAATAGGGGATATGAACCTTGAATACTTTCCTTTGAAATATTCTACACAGAAAAAATTTAGTAAATAAAGAATATAACATTTTTGACTCCCATATACATTTTGAAACATACCTGTTTAACTGTTTGAATCCAAAAACTGAATTAAAGATGACTAAGTAGGGAGGATATATATACTATAAGGTCAGACGCCCTTGACAGGTCAACTGTCAATTTGTCTGAGAAATTTATAAATGTCTATAGTTTTGTGAGTACCTTGGTTCATTATTGTTTAAAGTTAACACCGTACATGTGTTAACATGTGTAAAACAATGGCTGCAGGTAAAGAGACGACGTGTGTATTAATTTTAATAACGGTGTTCACATTGTCGCACCCAGACAGTCTTGGACCGCCCTTTCTCCGAGACATTCATCAACCTCAAGTAGAGGTATATAAGCCACTTCGAAATTTTTGCTCAAATATATGTGCGTATTTTTCACTAATAATGTGTTATATTGGATTATCTAAAGGTTATTGTAATTTTCATTCTTATGGTTATAATTTTTATGTCATTAATGACACGCACTCGAGAACTTTGAAATTACAATTCTTTAGTCTAGACCGTCTTTAAAATAATGTTAACTTTGCTTGCCCTCTCTTGACTCAGGATAAAATTATTTGGGTTGGTAGGTAGGTGTGAAAATCTTTTTTTTAATCGGGTCTTTTTTAGTCAGTCGGTCGGGAAAGCAACCAAACATTTTTTAAAGATGGCCCTAGTGTACTATTTAGCATCTACATTCACAGAAACATTTCTATGGAGTTTGTAAATATTTCCTCATATTCTCGCATAGTAAATTAAAGGTACTCATATACAGTAAGTAATTTTCTCTATTAAAATTACAGCTTATATATTCTAATAGCATTTCACACAAAAATTAATTAAAAATCTTATTTCATATAAAAGATATTAGAATTTCAAATTTTTTGGCGGGTTTTAATAAGTTTTAATAACTTTTAAATGAAAAAAGATTTTTAATTAACTTTTGTGTGAAATGCTATTAAAATATACAAGTCGTAATAATATTATACAATTATTGCTGGTTTTTGAATAAAAGCCCGAAGGGCGAGGTACGCAGCAATAATTGTTTTATTATATGATTCAGTGATAAAATGATAAAGCTCATTACTTGTTTGCATTTTATTAAGCTTACAAGAGTAAGCAGAATTAAAATGTGAATAAACCTTACCAGTCGTATCGATTTGAAATGTTTTTTTTTTAAATCAATTTTAGTTACCATGAAAGAAATATATAATGTCAGTCTTTTTTTATAGGACATATTTTGAAAGGAAGGAGTATTATCAGGGAAAACTGACTGCCAAAAAGTAAAAAAAAAATTGTTGTTCAGTAAAAGTGTTGGATTTCCCCTCTTAACCCTAAAATATATATTCGCTTATGTTTTGTTCACATGAAAATAAAAATCATAGTCGTTTAAATAGCTTTCTAAAACAATTTGGATCAATTTGGAATTTCCCAATCTATTTTTAGATCAATGTAGAGGAAATAAATCCTTGTATTGACCTGGAACGTCACGTGCAGGTTTTATTTTTCTAACATAGTTGGATCTCAGCCAATCAGAGTGATGGAAATTATTCAATCATATAATAAAGAGAAAATATTGACTTCAAATCCGTGTCCAAGTACTTTTAAAATTACAGCTTATATCGATTTAAGAAAAAAACATTTGCCTTTATAATGGATAAATAAAAAAAAAATAATAAAATACGCTGAAAGTGAGTTGTTGATATTAGCTTATAATTTCTAGTGGTGGTGGGGGGTATCCGAGACGTAAAATGTATTGCAATATTTCAAACCAAGTCGTTCTAAAAATTATCTTCGTATTTTTCAGTAGAGAATAAGAGTAATTAAACTGAGGCCATCTTTACAAAATTGCTTGCTTGCCCTCTCCCGACCGACGGACTGAAAATGTCCTGACTCAAATCTTTTTATTTTGAATTCCAGGACACCATATTTTTAAAATTCCTTTTAACAAGTCAAAAAATATGCTGAAATTTGTAGGGAAAAAAGTTTTCCCCATTTCCTACCGACCCAGTAAGTTTACTGTGAGTCGGGAGAGAGCAAGCAAACATTCTATTAAATATGGCCTGAAAAACATACCTCACATATACATTGTACACAAATTTAGCTATGTAAATCACAAATATTATATTTAAGTGGAAAGGTAGTCTGGAATTGCAAATCAAACAATTGCTTTTGCAAAATTAGAGCAAAAACTGTTTTTGATACAAAAAACTATAAGACTTTTCTAAGTTAAATGTATCTATAACAGCATAGATAAGTTTAACTTGATTAAGTCAAAACTTTTAAGATGATTTTAAGATCTTTTAAATTCATTTTACAGAGAATATGACTACAGACATCATTTAGTGTATTAATTGTAACTTGCAAAATTTTGACCTGCTCCGCTATCCCCGATTTTTGCATTTTTAAAATCTGGATAAGTTCTGAAATAATTGTGGTATTTAAAAAAAAATTGATACAAATCCTTTGGATTTATTGTTAAAATATTTCTACCAAATTTGGATAACATATGACGTCAAATAAAAAAGATATGACAGTAGTCCACGAAGTTTTCGAACAACCCTCGTACATATCTTTACAATAGCTCCAAAACTATTTGGTTTTTAAAGCTAAAACTTATACAGTTTATGAAATATATCATTGTTTAACAGATAAAAAGTATCACTTGATAATAAGAACTAAAAAAATATATTTATGGTGAAAAATTCTTTTAAAAAATAGTATAGTATACAAGTAGTTTTTAATAAATACACTTGATTTATTCCGCACGTTTAGTGAAAACCATCATTGCAAAAACAATAAATGTTTATCAATGAAAGGCAACTTGGATATCGATAGCCTCTGGAAAGTTGTTTTCCCAGTTTATTTTGCCCAAATGTTAAGATTTGAAAAAGAAAGTAAATTGCAAATGGCGGATTTTATAGGGGTCTTGTCTTTATACATCTCATGCTTTCAATAACAGCCTTTCAGAGACCATCCACGTCCAACTTGTTTTTCATTGATAAACATAAATTATTTCTGCAATGATGGTTTTCAAAGTACAGAATACAGCAGACAGAGTGCACTTATTTTAAATCTATCTGTTAATCAATTTATATGATATATTTATAAACTGTAAAAGTTTTAATTTTATACCTTACGTAGTTTTGGAGCTATTATAAAAATAAATTTTTGGACATCTTGACCTTTGGCAAAACCTTAATGTAACATTAAAGCAGATGAGAAAACCGTGGGTGATCAGGAATTGTGCACTTTTTTTAAATTTGTGAATATCAAAGTCAATATAATTCTGCTACAAAGTTTCAACATAAAGTTGGTTATTAAAAAGAACTAAAATGAACCGAACAAAAAGAGCAAAAACAACCACGCTTTTTAGTTTTGTTCAACTTCACAATTAACTAAACTCCTTTTTCTATGCATGGACAACAAATCACAAATATTAATGTTACAAATGTAATTTTGTTATGTTTCCATAAATATTTCACTTTTCAGTTCTCTGTGGGGAAGAAATACAATATCAAAGTCGGCTCCATAAAACCGTCACTTTCATCTATTTGCAATTCTAGAGTAAAATATACATTTTAATTTTCTCCACTTGGTTAAATGAATTTACACTTATGGACCATTAGTAGGCAAAACAATATCTATTTCTATTTGACGAATCCTACTCAACCGATTGCAGAATTTCAGGGGGAAAAAATAAAAAAAAAAGTTGTCCATGCCAGTTGTCTATCACGTTGATTCCTTCTCATTAAAGTCTTCATTATTACAAGAAGATTAACAAAAGGAACGTTGTTATTCGTACAGTTTGTTCACATTTACCCAATAAATGCTCAACAGAGCATTCCAACAATCGGTCATAATATAGATATAAAATAACGAAACATTGCGTAACTTTTGTAATGAAGTTGTCAAAAACCACAAGATAGCCTGTAAAACAAATGTCGAGGTGTCATTGGACATGCCATGCTAACGAGAAATGCATAGGACGTGTAAATAAAACGTGCAATAACACTACATTGTACTTTGATATTGCACAAGGACATATTATGAACAGGGTATTTTGAGGCACATAAGGGGAGTTTTCATATCTTAAAAATTTGATAATTTATTTAAATAGATAAGCTTTAAGATGAATTTTGCTAAGAATGTTAAAAGTTTGAAGAATAAATAGTAATGTCATATTTTTTTTCAAATCAGATGTAAAAATATACTGTGATATTATCATCTTTTTATAGGACCCCCCTTTGTACCTTTAAAACGATTATTACCTCCTTGTATAAAAAGGAATACAGTCATGGTTACAATTACAGAGCATCTGTCGCACCAAATCAAATCAGGTATGTAAGACAAGGAAGAATCTTATACAGATAACCATTTATTCTGGAATTACATTAATATTCTCTTTTGCTAAAATATTGCTTGAATTCTCCAATACTTTTTTCCCCACTCGTAATTTTTTGTCTTGAATAACCAAAAGAAATAAAAATAATATCCTTTCTTAAGATTTGAGTTGATAATTCACCTTTTTTTAACCTGATCAGGTAACGATGAAGTCCTCGGTCACAATTGTTTTGGCTGTTTTGTGCCTGTCCGGATCTGTCCTCTCACAGACCGTTACCACCACCGGAACCAACTTCTTTGAGCAGATTGGCTCCTTCATCAGCTCAAACCCACTGCTAGCGCTGTCCTTCGCTGCTCCATTCTTCGCCGCCAACAGTCTCGGACCTAACCCAAGTAGAATCATCGTTCCACCACCCCCACCTTTCCTTCCTCCGTTCCCTCCTATGGGAATGATGCCCATGCTCCCACCTCCCGTCGTTGTCAGACATCACTACTGAAAAGGTAATTAGTGCAATTACTCCGAATTAATTAATTTCCCTGTAAACGATGAAAATTATCAGTGGTGAAAATTTAGGATCCATAATTTTTTAGAACGATTTTTCTCCAAGCGACATATTTTAAGTACAGATCTTCAATGTGATAGAGAAAAAAAATCTACACGTTTTGATAAAAACCTGATGAAAAACATAGCGATGTTGGGAAATATTATTTCTTTCTTCATAAATTTTCAATGGATGATCTGGTCAGTTCTCTATCACTCTTCATATAATTAAATTAAATCCTATTTTCCAAATTTACCAACTTCAGGATTTTTTTGTGAAAAGTAATTAGGGTCTTTCCTCTGTGAAGTTATATTAACTGAAGAACTGCAGTATTCAATACTTGTTTAATACAATGTTTTTCTTTATTTCCCTCAGGAAACCTACTTCCGAGTTGCCAATTTTTTAATGTCTCGGCTTTGGCGCTCTCATGGGCACAAAAGATGCTCCACGTCAGAGAAAGGAAGCTTGACAAGAATGTTGTTCAAAGAGCGGGAAAGACTGTTGTAAATAAACCCTGTACAAATAAAAATTGTTTTGTTTCCATTTTTGTATTATAATTTGTTGTTATTTTAATAATGACAATAATGACAGTGTCCCAGACTACCTTTTCTTGACATACATTGGTTTTGCATAAAAAAAATGAGATGGTTTCACAACTGACATCTCAAATCTTTTTATTCTAAAAAGAAATCTTTTCAGCATCTGCACAGTTGGGGTATGACAATTTGATATAATATGTAAGTTTCTGTGGCAGTATAATGAACATGTCCATGATGCAGGGAGATATACATTAAACTGAAAATAAATTTAAATGCTTCTGCTTTTGAGGAGAGAAATATGCGGTTCGAATTTACTTGAGAATACCTTCTTCAGATAAACACGTCTTCACAGGCCTTGGGACCGCGTACATGAAATCACAGGCCTTTGAATCGCTAAAATGAAAATAATAAACGTTTTCTATTCATACGAAATATTTCGGAATGAACTCCAGTAAGGTAGTCATTGAAGAAATATATCAATAGGAAGTACCATAATTGATTTTATATCATTTGCTTTTAATGTATTTTGGTAGAATATATAGTATATAGTTTTTGCCCTTTCCGTCTGTTTGTCTGCCTGTTTTTTTCTGTTTGTCAGCAAAAACTTTAACCTTGCTCATTACTTTTGTGTGGTTGTGGCTATTGCGTTCATATTTCAGAGGTGTATTTCTTGTGACAAGACCTTTCTTTGAGTATCACCAAATTTGACCATGACTTTTGAGCCTGACCAACTTTTACAGAAAAATTCTCAACTTTAACCATGGTCATATTTTTTGAACTGTTGGTGCTAGGACTTTCATACTTTACATGTGTAATTATTGAGACAAGACCTTTCAGGGGGAATAAATATTTTGACCTTGATATTAGAGTTTGACCCAATTTTAGAAATAGGACTTTTATATCTCATAGATGTATTTCTTGTGACAAGACCTTCCTTAGGGTATCAACAATTTGGATCTTGATCTTTGGGGTTGGACTTGCATTTGTTAAACTTCAACTATATATTTTTTTTAGATCTTTTATTGGCAAAATTGGGAGAAATTCCAAGATCTTAATTTATGATTATTTATTTTATATATATATATATATATATATATATATATATATATATATATATATATATATATATATATATATATATATATTTAAGAAAAATCCAGTGTTTTGGTTTTATCTTCAGACAGTTAAAAGTTAAATATAAAATTGCTTATAAATAGGTAGCATTATAATATATCACTATATAACTTTAGTTAAAACTGAAGTATAATTTTCTGTATGACAGTCATTGTGCATTTTATAAAATGGAAATAATTTAAATTTCCCTTTCCCACAGGTAGCAAAGTGCTCACTGCACGGCGTATTCCTTAACAAAAAATTTGTTGTTTTTGACTCGCATAGGTCGGACAGGTTATGCAGTAAATAACATTTTCTGATTTACAGGTCATGCTGACGTTTGGTGTTAATTTTTTACCACATTTTAAAGTTTTTTCGCTTCCCTCCTCCAGATATTCACATGTTCCACAACGTGGGTCACAGCACTTTTTGACGACTTTGGCATTGATTGTTGCAAATCTTGCTCTGGTTAGATTTTCTTCAGATTGGGTGCCTGTCTTCTGCTATTAATAATTTGAGACTCCTTGATGATGTCTTTTAGATTCTGAGATTGTTCTAAAATGGGAAAAAATCTCCTGGCTGATCTTAAAATATTGTGGTTGCGTGGATTGATGTCGCTTTTTTCACTATCATCCTTGCGGCGAGTGTTTCTTAACAGAAGTAGGAATGTTTTTTGCTTTTTCAATTCCGGCATATTTGGTGTTGTTTTTGGAGATATATTTATTCTTCTATAAGCGTAAAGTTCTATATATACCTATATTGTATGGATATTATTTTTGATGGGTGACATGAATAGAAATCCAAATATTGGTGCGAATCTGTTTCTTTGCAGTACATCTGTAATAATTTTGGTATCATCCTTAATTAGAAGGAGGTCCAAAAATGGAAGTTGTCTGTCACTCATCTCCATAACTGAATTGATTCCTGTAATTGATTTATTATATGGAATTCGTCTTCAGTTTTATTCCAAAAGATAAAAATATCATCAAGGTATCTTTTCCATTTTGGCGAATGTAAAAATATTGCTTTACTATATAGCTTTTCTTCCAAGTAAATAACTAGAGTGGCATAAGTTGGGGCCACTTTGGTACCCATAGCTGTGCCCTTGACTTGAAGGTAAAATTGCTCATCAAAATGAAAATGGTTATTTTCTAAAACTACTTGAAGGGCTTCAAGTTAAATAATATTTTTCCATCCAAAATTTGACAGCTTCAAGTCCCAAGTAATGTGGGATGTTGGTGTAAAGACTGGTTACATCAAAACTTACAAGAAACGTGTTTTGTTGTACTTCCTCTGGAATGTAATTAAGGAAATCCAAATCATCACGGATGAAACTGGGTACTTTTTTGCACAATGGTTTGAGAATCAAATCAAGTAGATTGCTCAGTCTTTGTGTACATGAGGATGGTCCTGCTATAATGGGACGGAGTTTTAAATCCGAGGGTTTCGGAATTTTTATATATGTATTTTCACATCTTTTGATATTTTCCTGGATTTCCTTGGATTTGTGAAAACCGTAGAAATTGCTGGTTTTAACTTCAAAATGTGTGAGATAATCTATTTCATTCTTAGTAAACTCACCAGCAAATTTTTTCGTAAGTCGTTCAATTCTACGCATTGTTTGGCGGTCTCCATTTTGGTCAAGTTTTTTATAAAACTGATCATCTTGAAGTTGACTCATTACCATTTCCTTGTAATGGTCTCTATCCATTATAACTATTGCACCTCCTTTGTCCGCTTCTTTAATAATGATGGACGAATCCTCACTCAAATATTTTAAAGCATTCTGTTCCTTTCTTGAAATGTTTGATTTCACATTGGTTTCCGCTAAATTAGTATCCGCTGAATTTTTAAGACACATTATGTAATCTTCAAGATGTTTATTTCTATTTGGTGGCGGTTTAAAACCTTTTTTATTTCTAACTAAAGATTGGTCGTCGTCTGTTTCATTTTGAAAAAATTCTCTCAAACGCAGTTTTCGACAAAATTCCTTGACGTCGTGCTTATGAACGTTACTAAGCAATTTTATATTTAACTTTTAACTGTCTGAAGAGCCATTAGGCAGAAAGCGCTAACAGTAAAAATGATTTTCGAGATTTGTGATTTCTGACTTTTTTTCATTGGATATATATATATATATATATATATATATATATATATATATATATATATATATATATATATATATATATATATATATATATATGTGTGTGTGTGTGTGTCTAGTTTTATCAGTTGAATAAAAGCAATCTAAAGGCTTGTGTATGAAACAAAAAATCTCATTGCATTTTTCTATTTTCCCTTAAAGAGACACCGTGATGCACAAAGGGGATTTCTTAAAAGTATTTGGTTTCAGTAATTTACAGGTTTCAAAACCTAAAATATCTATTTTTATGGAGAAAATAAAAGAAAAAATAATTTCTGTATGCCCCATAATGAAAATTTTGCTTTACTTCTTCCTCCCTCTTGTACACGTGCGCAGAAAAGTTAAATAAGTTACCATAGTTACCAAGGTCTCATGAATCCAGGAATGAATGTAAGTAGACCAGGAATTTTGATGCAATTTTTATACCCCCCGCTTGAAAAGTGGGAGGGTATATATAATAATCGGTATTTCCGTCCGTCTGTCTGTCCGTCCGTCCGTCTGTTACGCTTTGGGGTACCAATCTCTTATCCGAAACTCCTCTCATACCACTGAAGGAAATTTAATGAAACTTTCACAGATTCTTAATTACATATTGCCATTGTGCACCTCCTATTTTACCTTTTGATCTGACATATATTTTTGATTTTCCAGAGCAAAACATGGACACTGCCATTATATTCATATGGGAGGCGGGGGTATCATTTAGTGAGCTCATTGCTCACAGTACCTCTAGTTTTTTATAAAGTTCTTATAACATATTTCTAACCTTTGCATGCTCCACTTAGATGTTGGCAACAAGTCTAAGCTAAAAAAGAAAAGTGGCGTGACCTTGACATACACGAAAACAACGAAATGGCAGTCCTATACAACCTTCGATTATATTGTGCAGTTTTTTCTTGCTTCGCAGTGCAGTTTAGTTGTCAGATCTTTGCTATATACTCATAATTTTATAATTTATTTTATTTTCTATATATCAATCAGATATCTAAAAAAAAAAGAAACACGCGATTTTGACCCACTATTTAACTTGAAATTATTTTAAATTCTAAAATCCATTATAAGAACTTTTTATGACATTTATCTCCAATATGAATAGCATAAATTGCATATTTATGTACATGTATAAAACACATACTGAAAAAAAAACTATGTGTATGCATACCAAATTCGCCATTTTTTTTTCAAAATGGTCGTAATACAGCATCAAATGTGCTCATAAAATAAGGTAAAGGAAGTGTCTTGTCCACATATTGTAATATAATTTGCATATTTTAATGACTTAACGTATAAGAGTAATAGCCTAGACCATCTTGATTTTAAAAAAAAATGGTCACGCCCTCTCTCGACCGACGGGCTGAAATGGTCAAACACTTTTTGTAACATTCAGGAAACAATTATTTCTTTGTGCATTCTTGAAAATAAAGCATTGGTCTTAAAATTTTCCGTGAAAGAATTTTTCCCAGATTTTTCATTCTGAGTCTGGAGATGGCAATAGATCATCATTTTAAAGTTTGCAATTATAAAATATTTGAATTTTTTCGAACAAGAAATCTGATAGCAATATGAGCTGTATCTTCCAAAATTTTATTTTGCTGGTAAAATGTGCTTTTATGATTAATTTGTATGTGATTTAAACCCCTATGACCAATAATAAAGTTTAAAAATGTTTCAGGAGAAATATTTCTGTACAGCCAAACATACAGTTTTATATATAAGAAATCATTATTGCACAGGACGACAATAAT